CTCCTTACAAAAAGGGAGTCTCCATCTTCTTTGTAGTCACCCTTTAAATACTGGAACATGATGATAAGCTCTTCCTTAAGCCTTCTTTTCTCAAGGCTGAACCTTATCCTTTCTCTATGACAAGATGCCACCATCAGGAAACAACCCTTCAGCAGCTCCTCTGTTACTTAAAAGCCAGTTGTGACACCCAGTCACAAGGAGAAGGACAAATGCCCTCAATTTGCAGTCAGATACCTGGGAGCTACCCAGCAAGGAACAAACACAACCTGGAAACACCCCAGCTCCATAGGCAGGAGAATGGACTCACAACAAACCAACACCCCTCCTCCAAAGACATTAGGCCAGAGCTTGAGCAAGCCCAGCCCTTTTATAAGCCATTCTCAGGTGAAACCTGTAGAGATGAGCTGGTCTGGGGAGATTCACATCACCTGGGAGCATCCTTGAATATGTCAGCTGCACCTTTGTCCCCACTGTACACCACAGGGCTCTGGCATTTGTGAAGAGGATGTGGTAGCTCTTCAAGGCTCTTCACGGGTTGTGAAGGGGGTGTGGTGGCTCTTCAGTGTCACAGCCATGGCCACAGCCTCAGCAATGAGCAGGGGGAGCCCATCTCCTCAATGCTTGATATATATCAGGGTTGGGGGTGCCAGGTGTTGGACCAGTTGGAGCAGGGATGAGCTGCTCAATGGGAGCAGGGGCATCCCCCAGCTCCCACCTCCCCATCCATATCTTAGTGGTGATTTTACATCCTCCTTGCATTATCCTTCCACCAGCTGGCTGAAAGGATGTCAAAATTGTTATCCTCACCTGGAGAGGGAGATGAAGTGATGTGGCAGTGGCTGCCCAGGGAGTCAGTGTCAAAGGCAGGACTAAACCCCATCTCTCCCCAGTCACAGCCTGGCCTGGGTCTCTGTTGGGCTGTTCCCCTGCTGTGTGTGTAGAGGACAACATTCCCAAAAAGTGGGAATCTCTCTGCCCATGTGAGTGTGTGGTGCCCATGGAGTGGCTGACGCAGGCTGCCTTGGTGCCCCTAGAAGAGCTCAGATGCTCTAATGCTCACACATGACTCATCCTGAGCAATAATTTTAATTTAATCCTCTTTTTACCTTCTTCTCCCCGACCCCGGCAAAGCAAGAGCCAGGGTGAAAAAAATCTGCGTGATTTTTTTTTTGAGGTCAGAACTTTGTTCTTGGATAAAAGTCTTTAAAAAACTTCCCCCAAACCCAGCCCAAAGCCACAAAAAGCCCAGAGTGGGAGAAAGAGAAGGAGAAAGGAACAAGCCTGGGAAGCCAGCTCTGCACTTTGCCCCGGCTGCATGGGACAAGGGGCTCTTTGTTTCCCCGGCCGGAGCCTCCTGCACTGGCCCTTTTCAGCCTCCCTCCCTGGGAAAGGGGCCAGGGGGAAGCAGGCACAAGTGGGGCAGGCAAAAAGCCTGCAGTGAATAACCCCTGCTCGGACCCTCATCTTCATACAGCCAGTCCCTACAGCACCTGCCAGGAATGGTTCTGGGAGAAAAAGGGTGACCCAGGAGCTCCTCGGGTCTCTTCTTCCCAAGCAGCATCCCTAGAAGATGAACAGGCTCATGTTCCTGCCGGGCAGGAGGTTTTAAACTTTTCTGTTTCTGTCTCTTGGACCTTGCAATCCTAAAGCACCTGCTGAAATGCTTTTTGCAGCACCCAGCTGATGTGTCATCACCTTCCTGGGGCTTCCTGGACATCACTGAGGCTTTGCTGGGTCCCCGGGGCAGGTGGCAGAGTGGGCTGGAGGCTGTTGGGGACAAGCCACCGTCGTCTCCTCCCACCCCAGGGACAATGCCAGCGTGTCCCCAAGCGTGCAGGTGCGATGACACGGAGGTGGTGCATTCAGCCAGCCGGACAGGAGACTTGCTGCAGGGATCAGATCTCAGTCAGGAGAGGTGTTTCTTTTCTTCTCCTTATTTTCTTGCATTGAGAAAAGACGGAGCTCTGGCTGGCTGCCAGAAATTCCCCTTTTTCCAACCCCAGTCGCACGGAGTCGGGGTTGGGAAATGCTCAGCAGCCACCCCTGGGGCTCTCAGCTGCTCTGGGCTTTCATCAGCTCTAATGAGAGTCGTGGGTGCCCTCTCTGAGTGTGTCCCTCCGTCTGTCTGGGCTGCAGAGCAGGTTTGAGCCTGGTTCTGCACACCGGGATGGCAACTTGCTGCAGGCTGGGAATGATGCAGGGCTCCCCGTGCTCACAGTGACATGAGCTGGAGGGATGCTGCTTGGCATCCCAGGAAGGTCTGGGAGGGAGATGATAGTCCCAGGAGAGAAGAGAAGGTGAGGAAACAGCCTCTCTGGGGAGCGAGGTGCTGCAGGGACCATCCTGCCCTGCCAGGAGAAGTGCAAACATCAGCTGCTCCCATGCTTGTTTGCACAGCTCTGCTCCTGAGCCCAAAAATGTGCCCAACAAGCCCCAAAATTCACCCAACTAGCCCCAAAATGCAATGCTGGCTGCTCCGGGAGGGCCTGGCTGTACCCAGGCTGGCTCAGCACTTTGCAACCAGTTCCTGCATTCGTGATGCTCCATTTCCCCATCCATCCCAGTATGATGCTTATTAGAAAGTGGGGCATGAAAACGAGCAATCTCTCCCCAGGTCAATAAAAGGATCCTCCTCAAGGCTCTTTCTCCCTCCAGGACAAGCAGGTGTTTGCAGTGTGCCACACCAGCAAACACATTCTTTGGGGGGACACATGCTGGTCAAGCTCATCCCACAGGAATGGTCCTTCCCGGCCTCTCCATCCCTGGGGATATTTGCACCCCAGGGATCCCATCCCAAAGGGTCCAGGGGGGCTGTGGGAACCAGCCCCACCGCTGCTCCCCTCTACTGCTCCGCATGGCAACTGCCAGAGTGGAGGGGAGACGGCACAGGGCTTTGTTAAAACAAATAAATTCAAGGAAAAGGCCTCGTAGATGTCTCCTCAGCAACCACGACGTCACGCGGGATGTCTGGCCCTTCCAACCCCCCCCCCCCCCCGCTGCCTTATTATTAAAAGTGAAAAGAAAGGGAAGCAGAAAGCGAAGGGGAGCTGGGGACAGTCTCCTGGCAACGCTGGGGACAGTAACGTCCTCCTGCCAGGGGGACATGGCTTCGGTGTGGGGAGCCTGGCCAGCCCTCGTGGCCGGAGAGGCGGGATGGGGAGGGTGTCCCTGGTGTCCCCTGGGATGGAGGCAGTGGCACGGCCGTGTCCCCAGGGATGCTGGGCTGCCTCCCTGCCGTGCAGCCTTGCTAAGCCCTGATTTACCCAGCACGGGTCCTCGACATGCAGAGTGGTGGCAGCTTAATCCCCTCTGCTCCCCCCTCTTGATTCAAGACATTTTTTGGTGACAAAGACCACGCTTCTTCCTGCAGTGCCAGGGCTGGGGACAGGGTCCCTGGGTCACTGGGGGATAGTGGGACAGGGTCCCTCCCTCCCTGCTGTCACTGCAGCCTGCTGGGGAGTGCCTGCTGGAGTCACACTTCCCCCCCCACTCAAACCCTAGATTTTTGAGCTATTTAAATGCAGTGCCAGGGCTGGGGACAGGGTCCCTGGGTCAC